AAAGCAAGTGAACATTTGTCAAACGAAAGAATAACAACAAACGGTAAACTGAAAACATCGCAGTTTCGAGTGATAAACAATATTCACGCATTTACAATGAACCACTAGTGCCACTTTGTGACCGTGCAATATTTGTTTTCAAATACATTGTATTTCGAATAATTTAAACAGAATTAACTTTAATTAAATACGAAATTAATCTAACTAAATCCGATAGGTAAGGACGTCAGCATTAATATATATGTCATTAAAAACGTAACTAAATCATTTTTACAAATATATATATAAATGAATTGAAAAACTAGGATGATTTATAACAAATATTTTGAACATAAGTTTGACTTAGCTAAGACCTACCTAAGTCCGTTTTATGTTACGGTTTGAGACATACTTAAGTAGTACTTAGGCAGGTCTTAAGATTGCACCTAAAACATACTTATGACCCTACTTAAGTCAAAAACTTAGCAAGCTTTATGTTACGACCCCCAGACCGGAAGGTACCGTCTCGGCCTTTTGGCCAAATTAACAGAGAAGCATTACACAGAATAGTTTAATGGTAGATCTTTTTTCCTAATTGCTGGTTTATTATATTAATTAAAAATAAATCAATTAGCCCAACATGCCTTTAATCATTCAGTCAACATTAATGCCAAAATGAAATATTTATAGAATTAATTCTAATAAATTAAATTCAAATTCATGGGTCAAAGTTGTTTTATGATTTTTTTTTTCTAAGTGAGAAACATTCTTGGAGGAGTTTAGCTTGCTTTTTATTTGATTTAGGAATAGAAAAATCTACGCGGGCTGCAGAAGCAAAATTAATAGAACGTGATATGTTTCATGTGCATTTGGACTTTGAGAGACTTTGAATGCTTTAAAAAGCATCACACCGTATAGTAAGAAATTTGAATGCAAATGAAGAATAAGATGCATGGAGATGAAAAAATACTAATGTTGATCTACATACTATATTTTTACTTAATTATTTAGCAAATATTTAACAAACAATCGATAATTTTCTGATTTTTATGAATTCATGTTTCATAATCGATTATTGGTATTAATCGAAAATATCTTTAAAATATCATAATAATTATCGAACTTCATAGTGTTTTCAAATTGATAGTTATTACCTATTGAAATGAAGTCTATATGAACTAAACAAACCTTGTGAACATTATGCATCTCCTTTGCGAAATATATTAAATCAACCTTAAATCAAATATCCAGTTAATGAAATTCAGATGTTAAGGCTTTCTTTTCCTTATCTTTTCACAAATGTATATAAAATGAATATTTTTAAACATAGCTATGTTGATTTTTAATTTCCAAGTTCCAGTTCCGTTTTCTTTCCATTTTTAGAAACTTTATTAAACTAACCATTGTTGTGTAAATGTGTGAGAAAGATAACAGTCTGGATACCGAACAAACAAACTTTTAGCAAAAATCCTGAAAATAGCTACATGTACCGAAGTCTTGTGTATATGAATAATATGAATGAATAAGTTTAGCCGTGAAAATTTTAATTTTTATGCCCCCGTAATCGAAGATTCGGGGGCATATAGTTTTTGCCATGACCGTCTGTCTGTCTGTCTGTCTGTCTGTTAATCCGCAAAAACTTTAACCTTGCCCACAACTTTTGATTGGTTGGAGCTATGGCTTTCATATTTCACATGTGTATTCCTTATTAAAAGACCTTTCTTTGGGTATCATCATATTTGACCTTGACCTTGGAGTTTGACCCACTTTTGCAAAATTTTATGAGACTTTAAACTTGCCAATAACTTTTGAACACTTGGAGCTTGGACTTTCAAACTTCACAAGTGTATTTTTTGTGAAAAGGCCTTTCTTTGGATACCAACACCGTTGACCCTTTGACCTTGAAGCTTGACTTACTGTCGAAAAAACTTTAACCTTGGCTATAACTTTTGAACAGTTTGAGCTAGGTCTTTCATACTTCGCATGTGTATTTCTTGTGACAAGACCTTTTTTGCGTACCAACATCTTTGACCTTTTGACATAGACCTTGGAGTTTGACCTATTTTAATTTTGAATTTTTTTTACCTTGCCAATAACTTATGAACAGTTAGTGCTAGGGTGTTCATACTTCACATATGCATTCCTTGTGAAAAGACCTTCCTTTAGATACCATCAGCTTTGACCCTTTGACCTTGACCTTTGAGTTTGACCTACATTTGAAAACTTTAACCTTGGCTATAACTTTTGAACAGTTGGAGTTAGGGCTTTCATACTTCACATATGCATTCCTTGTGACAAGACCTTCTTTTAAATACAACAACTCTGACCCTTTGACCTTGACCTTGATGTTTGACCTACTTTAGAAAAACTTTAACCTTGGGCATAGTTTTTGAACAGTTGGCGTTAGGGCTTTCATACTTCACATGTATATTCCTTGTGACAAGACCTTCCTTTGGCTACCAACAATTTTGGCATTGACCTCGGGGTTTGACCTACTTTTAAAAAAAATTCACATTGGCCATAACATTTGAATGTTTGGTTCTAGGGCTTTCACATTTCACGATCATGTGTATCACTTGTGACAAGAACTACCTTTGGGCACCATTTGACCTTGACCTTGCCATTTTACTTACTTTAAAAAAAAAACATTAACCTTTGCCATAACTTTTCAACGGTTTGTACTAGGTCTTTCATATTTCACAAGTATATTCCTCGAGACAAGACCTTTCTTTGGGTACCAACATTTTTGATTTGTTGACCTGGAGTTTGACTTGCATTTAAGAAACTTTATCCTTCGCCATAAGCTGCCATACGGGGGCATCAGTGTTTCACAAATACATCTTGTTTATTCAAAGTTTCACAATGAAGGGATTAAAAGTGATAAAAATTGCAAAGAATAATAGGATGGTTGTAGAAAGGTGGAATTTTGAACTTCATTGAAGCTTACAATTTCTTATTATTTTGAAATTTATTATTTGTATTAATTATAACTAAAATAGGGCCAAAATTATATACCAATCAAGGAATCAATTTTTTTTTGTTTCATCTGTCCTTAGAGAGATTTTATATATATTTTACTGGTGTTTTATATATATATATATATATATATATATATATATATATATATATATATATATATATATATATATATATATATATATATATATATATATATATATTAACATGTTCTTATTAAAAACAATTTCTAAAAAACAGGTAAGCTTTTCACAAATAAATTGACGATTCGAGGATATCAATAGTCTAGATTTCAGTCAATATTTTGCAATTTCTCTGGTCGATAAAATGTATTTGTTATCAAGTATGTCCTTTAGTGAAGGTAAATGTTGACTGACGTTTTTATACAAATTGTTAGAGTATTATTTTCACTTTAGATTAAGTACAGATTTTTCATCTTTCCCGAACATAACAAGGGGCACACGCGGGTGAGTCGACAGGGAATGATTCCTCCTCCATGACACCTGATCCCACCTTGATTCTTTTAGAGGTCGTGTGTTTGCTCTACTCGAAATTTGTGTTTTCCAATGGACTTTTGATCTTCATTAGGTTGCGTTATCGTCATATTTCATTATACAGATTTTAAGAAGTAATTTTGGCAGAGAGATAGCTTACAGGCTTATTTTTTGCTGAAGTATTCGTGTTTTGAGCTAAGTAAAAATATAATTGAAAATGAAATAATATTCGAATTGTGTCTTTTTCTTTGTCCATTCTGTCTTTCCAAATATTATTATATAGTTTTAACTTCCATTAAGATGTTAAGAAAGCCAAATTGTTAGTTTGTTTTTAATAATTCTTTTTTATATTCCTTTTTTTCTGAAAGTTCCCATTTGTCCCCTCGCTCTAAAATAAATGGGGGGGGGGGGGGTTGAAGAATAAAAAAAAAAGCAAATCAAAACAAATAAACAGCAAAACAAAAGAAAGAAAAAATGAATGTATCTTAAAGGTTTTTCCTCAGAAAATAAATAAATAAATACACAGATAAATGCGGGTAATCTGTTTGTATTTAGATTTTTCTAAAGTGAATGATTATTGCTTACAAATAAACTAGGTATATGTAGTCTTCAAATGAAATTTATAGCGCTGTGGTTAGAAAGTGTATGATCAATTTATTTCTTAATGATTCTTATTTTCTTAGTTTCGGTTGTTTTCGTAAAATTTATATTTTCAGTCTAATTAGTAAGTTTTTCACACAAGAACGTTTTTATACACAGTATAAATATACTTTCAATTTGTTTCTAGAATTATTTTTGATCTTTTCAAAGTTACAGGTAAATCTTATTTTTATTTCTTCAATGTTTTTGTTTGTTTATGAAATTAAAAGCTATCTTGTAATAAATGCAGCAATTTCTTTAACTTGTTTGAAAAATTAATGAAGGAAAATATTTTCGTAGTACGAGAAAGAGACATAAAATTACCCACTTCTTTATTTTATGTTTCTTGAGTAAAACAAATGACCTTTGGCATGAGTTGGATTTGATAAATGGTGAGCATTTTCAACATTTTAATTCTCAATCAGAAGCCGCAAAGAAATATATTTTATAGAATCCATTCTTTCATATTTGTAGCAAGAATTACCATATACTTTTAAATGGAATTAAATTTTCGGAAAGTTTTAGGTGAGAAAAAAAAATGTTTTTTCCCCTATTTTTTGGTAACATTGTTGAAAAAAAACTTGATTTTTCTTTGAATGTATATAAAATAGGTGTGGGTCGTAAACAGTTAAATTTCTTCTAGAACTACCACAAGCCTTCAAAGAATATCCGCATTCTTTCGTTTATAATGTAAACACATTCGTATCTGCATTGACATGTTTATTCATGCATTATTTCTAGTTATTGCTCTGTTCATTTAATTAATGTCACAAATAATGAATGAACCTGCTTAGTAATTAAACTCAGGTTTCATTTCCGTTTTTGAAGTCTAAAAATTGAAAGTAATGATTGGTCCACGTAAAATCTAGGATGAAATAAAAGGCCTCAACAACACTGCATGATTGGTCTGCAGCGGTCTTCAACAAAATGGGGAAAGTGTTGGCTGTTTTATTGCTTCTTTTTTCTCTGCTTAGCATAATTTATAGTGCAGGTAAGTTTTTACGATGATTCATTTAATTAATTCATTAAAATAAATAGTTCATTTTACATATCTTGATAAACTGCAGCAAAAAGAGTTTCAATATTTCTTGTATTTCTAGTCAGGATAATATTTCGATAGTACATTTTTATTCCTCGTTAAATGATAAACAGAAAACAAATGAAAAAAAAGAGGAAAGTATCTCTGATGAATGAAGAATAAAAATTGTAACCCTAACGGATGAAAATAATTTGCAGAACGAGATGGTGAGCATTGCTACGGATTTTGTGACCAGAATACGAATTGTGGTATTAACGCATACTGCGACTACAGATATATCTACAGAGGATTTTGCTGTATATGTAAGTATGCAATGTTTAAAAAATCAATCTTAGTACTCTACATCATGTAGATTTAATGTATTACTTTAATTTGTTTTATGATTTGAAAGTTTGATTTCATTTTATTTCTTTTTTTTTATCTAAAATTATTTATAATAAGATTTTTTAAATTAAAAAAAAATTGTTGTGCTCGAAATAGTTGTTTATGGAATGTAATTCGTTACATTTTAGATCGAAGAGGTTAGCACTACTGAGAAAACGTAATACAAAAATGAGGAAATGAGAAAGCACTAAAAGAGCTTCTTAATGGATGGTCTATTGATAAATCCCTTTTGCCCTTGAAGAAATAAAATCTTGAGCAGACAATATAAATTCTGAAAATAAATCAGTAACTTTGTTTTTTTCAATCTAATGCATACTGCTGATTTGGTTATGTCGGTAAAGCAGATTCATTGAAAGTGAATGGTTGTGCGATTCAATCCTGACATGTGACAGGAATGAAATTAACAACACAAGGCCCTGTTTTACAAAAGAACTTACGAACAAGTCTAAAAAAAATTCTCTTAATATTTATTTGGAAATTATTTTGATTTAAATTTATATTACGGAATTAATCTTATTCACATTAAAATCACAAGAATATCAACCTAGAAATAATTGAAAACATTTTTTGTATAACACCGCTCGGTATCTTAGATAAGTCATTACATGTATTATTTTTTTCTTCAGAAAATGATATCTAGGGAATTGTTCTAATTGCTTTTATTAACCAATTATTATGTCTTGTTGTGATACGATCTTATTGATCAACTTGCCAGTCATTTCAGTATGAAGACTTAAGACTTCAAAGAACTTTGAATGGTATTTAGATGCATTGAATACAAAAAATGATGTACGAAATTTTTTTTCCAAACTCTATGTGAGACGTCTTTAATTATTTGAGTTAGGTTATTCCTAGCTGGAGAGGACATCCGTAAAATTCGGATAATTAAGGAAGTTAGAGAGAATATGCTCATATGGCTATACATTTTGGATAAGTTTAGTTGAGTAATGTTCTTCCTACAGTGGAAGTAAATAAATTCTAGGATTCTGAGGTTCTATACTGATAGAGCAGTCCTATTGGTCTTCGATTGATGTAGTTCCTATTTTTAGATAATTGGATGTACTTTCATAGGCCAGTATAATGAGAGGATAAAGTGGTCTTTAGATTTTTGTATATTTCTAGAATTGACTCAAATTGTGATGTCAATTAAAAAGATTCAGTTTCATACTGCATGACAATATTGCTTTAATTAGCCTTAATAAGACCCAGTCTTCAAGGTCCAAAACAATCACTTCTCTACTCAGGGAATAATTTAATAGTAAATTCAAAGCTAAACATATTCTTGGCAATGAGTATTCTTCAGCAGTTCCAAATGATTAACAATGGTAAAGATTCCTCATTTTGGTTTTTTGTTTGTTTGTATGTTGTTTAAGGTCCCTCTCGAGAATTTGTCACTCATATGGAGACGCCATCACTTGCCGATGGAGAGCTGCAAATTTTGCCCTATGCTCGGCACTTAGGGTCATTGAGCAGTGAGGGATCTTTTTTTGTGCCAGCACCTTCTGCGACCTCGGTTTTTAAGGTCTCATCCGAAGGACCGGTCTCCACGTCCCACAGTGGGATTCGAATCCGCGACGTAAGGATCAACTCCTTACTCCGTGACTCTAGAGCAGACGCTCTACCACTGCGCCACGCGGGCGACTCCTCATTTTGGTACCTTTAACAGCAAAGTATCCAGAGTGAAATATGAAGATAACGAACTGTAATCAAACTCAGAAGTCCATCAAAACAATACAAATTTGGACCAGAGCACACGCGGACCTCTGAAAAAATCTGAGTTGGGATCAGGTCCCTTGGAGTTGTAAGCATCCTCTGTCGACAGGTCAGACCCACCGTGTAATCTTTGTCGTTATAAGGTACACAGAAAAATCCGAAGATAATGCAGTGTGAAAATTTGTATGTAAAATGTCAGTCAATGTTCAACTTAATGATAGATTGTATTTGTTCACAAGTTCATTGTATCGACCATAGAATTTTCGAAATGTTGACTTTAAACATGAATTTTGATATCTTTGTTTCATCAACTTATTTGTCAATACCTTGCCTCCTTTCAGAAGGTGTTCGTACGTAGAGCATGCTCTTGAGTATCGGATCAATACATGAATAAGGGAAGATGACCATAAAAAAGTTCAAGGAATCACGTTTATCATAAACGCAGGTACGTTAAGGCTTCCAAGAGAATATCGCAGTGTACTTTGTGCCTTCACTTCTCTGAACTACAAATGTATGACGTCATAATTGAAAATGACGTCAAGTCCTTGTAAATTTGAGCTGTTATGAGGGGGAGAGTGTCATAAACTTTACACCTTATAATTATTTCAATCTGCATATAAATGCCAGAAAGCTAGCGTAAAATAAACTTGTTTTAATCTTTTTATTTTAATCTTATATATCCGAATATTTTAAGATAACATTGCTTTATTACTCTTGCTTGAAAGTCAGCTTGTTCAAAATATAACCGAAAATATACGTTTGACATTTACCCTTTTTTTTTATACCGGTGGATAGAAGTAGAATTTATAAAATGGGTATAAAAGAGCCTGGCGCAGGTGATTAATGAGGATATGTTTGAGATTTTTTGTGGAAATCTGTAAGATGAGTTTCCCCTCTTACTGAATCTTGCTTCGGAAAAATGTGCGATGGCTTTGTTTTAATACAGATGACGATATTGAGTGGAAAATACTCAATTTTTTTTTTTAAATTTACATTTTTCTCATATGAAACAAAGTGATGGTAAATAAGCATCTTTACATATATGAGATACTCACACACGGTACGCTCACTCACTCACACCATCCACATCCATTATTCACACTTCTTATATAGTCAAAAATACATGTAATAAATACAGTTTGTCACTTTTTCCTCTTTAACCTTGTACATATATTTTCCAAATTATTAGATATACATATTCTTTTAAAAGACAATTTAAGGATAAACAAAAAAAAAAAAAAAAGAAGAGAGAAAAAATAAGAAATAAAATAATTTGAACTGTCACTCATCAAAAACTGGTTTCCATGAAGACTATATGGAATTAAAATCAAAAATTTTATTTTTTTGGATTGATACAAATTTTTCAACATTATATTTGACTCTTAGATGACACATGAGAGCACTGAAATTTGGCATTTTCTTCTGCATCAAACAAGTTAAAATATACTGTTTTGTGTATAAAATAATACAATTTTCAATTCTGTTATTTTTTGACAAAGGAATCTCCCCTAATATGACATTGTTAATACTAAATCCAATTCTTTTTGAAGTAGTTCTGTATATATGTTGGCTAAGACTACTCCACAATGGCAAAATATCATTACAAAATAAAAATACATGTTGTATTGTTTCACTTTCATTCTTACAAAAGGCACAGCAATCTGTAGTTTTAATATTAATTTTTTTAAGATAATAACTTACAGGAAGAATCCTATGCAATATTCTAAACTGCAGCCACTGAACAGCTGTATCATTTGTTACTTTAAAACAAACTTTGAAAGCATCATGTATTTCAAAATTACACTGCCCATAGATACCCAAAATGGAAATCCATTTTGATGCAGATGTAGGTTTAACACTATTTGTATTTAAAATGGAGTACAATGACTTAGTGCATTTTTCTGACTGAAGCAACAATTCAAAGTAAAAGGGCATAGGTGTATTGAAAGATTTTTTGGCTAAAGATTTGTCAATAGACATATATTTAGGTATTTTGATACTGCAGTAAGAACACTATTATATTGCATAATCTATACATGCATATCTGTTTGTGGAAGGCAAAACCTTTGTTGTAAAGACTCATAGTTTAAAAAATTTCCATTGTCGTCTAAAAATTCTTCAATTACTCTGATACCTTTCTCATACCAAACTTTGATAAAAATATATTTATTTCCAACCAAGATATTAGAATTGTACCACAATGGGATATTTAGAAAATTTTTTTTAACATTTTTACAATTATTTAAACATTTCATGACTTCAAGTCATGATTTTAATACCTTTTGCCAGAAAACATTGTTTTTAGGAAGTAGATGTTCTAAAATATACAGATCCCCACGCAGCTATGTTAAGGCTTCCCGAAGCTTTAAAATGTGACCAAAACATAATATGTCATTGCGAGGTCGGTTTTAGTTTTAATTTATAAGTATTGAACTTAAGTACTTCCAATTTATATAGAGGGTTTCCTCGGCTATATATGAACATATTTGTAATGATATCACATGACTTTGCTGATCACGTGACGGTCATTCATAATTTTTTGAAGTGTTTCAAATAAATCGCTTCGGCGCAGCTGATTAACACAATAATTATTAACATTTTGTTACATAAATAAACTCATCGTATCCTTGTGTGTGCGAAATGTGCTTGGGAAATGTCATAGTATTATTTAGATACAAAATATTTCTTGAGAAATTCAACTTACCTACAAATTTGAGGGTATTTTCCACACAATATCATAATCTGTGTTAAAACAAAGCCAATACACATTTTTCCCAAGAAAGATTCAGTTAGAGAACAACCTCTTCTTACAAATTTCAACAAAAATTCTCAGATTAATCCTCATTAATCTCCTGCGCCAGACTCTTTTATACACACTAAATATAGTCTACCTCATACCACGGGTATAAAACAGAGTACATTTCAAAAGTATATTTTTCATATGCATTTTGAACATGCTGAATTTCAATCAAGGGTAGGTTAGCGGTGTATTTTTAGAATATTCGGACATACACGACTTAAAAAAACTTGAACGACCCATGAATTTTGCAATAGCTATCTAGCATTTTACATGCAGTTTGAAATAAAGTGTAAAGTTCATGACACTCTCCCCGTCATAACACCTCAAGTTTGCAGTGACTTGACGTCATTTTCCATTATGACGTCATATTTTGGTAGTTTAGAGATGTGAAGGCACAGAGTGCACTGTGATATTCTACGGGAAGCCTTAACCTACCTGCGCAAAATGAAATAGCTTCTTAATAACATCTTTTCCATTCATTGCAAAAAAGATATCCATCCATGGCTTTTGTTTTTGAGTTAACCTTTTCATCCAGGAAGATTTTAAAGCAATTATAAAATTATCTATATTGATCATTTTTAGACCCCCAGAAAGATAATCTTGTGTTACAAGGGATCGCTTAATCTTATCTGATTTAGACTTCCAGATAAATTCAAAAATATTTTTTTGCAAATCAACTATAAGCTCTTTTCTAGGAGATGGCAAGGAAATAAATAAATGATTAAGCTTAGGCATAATAAGAGTCTTAACAACAGTTATGCGACCAATT